CCAGCCCGTGGGCTCCCCACGCCGCGCAGCCCGCCCCGGTCCGCAGGCCGCAGCCTCTGGGCCCCGTGGCGACACCGGACGGTCCCCGCCCCCAGAGCCCCCGCCCCGCCGGAGAATAACTCACCTGTTAGTCGCCGGAATCGCCCCTACTCGGCCCTCTGACTGACTCCTCCGGCTCACCGTCTTCCCTCTGGGAGGAAGAGGCGGGACTTCCGATCCCTCCCTGAGCCAGTTCCGGCGGTTCCCAGGACGACTTTAGTGAATGGAGCACAGGACACCACAACGGAAAAACAAGATTTTACAACTCCCCTGCTAAAACCCAAATTCACTTTCTCCCTTTTGCCTCAAGTGGCCGGCGGCCCCGCGTGTCTTGTTTTCAGTCCATCAGTCCTTTCCGGAAGTCCGTGCGAGAGAAAACAGGAAGTTCCACCCTCCCCGCTGTAAGGAAAACGGAAAGCCAAGAGAGTCAATCTAGAGGAGAGACGCTTGTCCAGCTCGGTGACAGTCGTGTCTTCCTGGAAGGATCCTCTGGGTCTTGCCTTGGGTGCTCAGCAGGTTCCTCCTCGGAGAATACCGGATCCTTCCTGTCTCCATCCCTCAAACCCGAGGGTGGTGCCGGGAAGGGCAGGGGCGGGGCCTGCGCAAGGGCATCCCTCTGTCAGTGTTCCTTTCAGGCCCGCGCAGAGGCCCTGGGGGCTCCCCTTTGAGTGCTGTGGGAGCCACTGTACCAACCCTAGATAATGAAAAAAAAGACTATCCAACGATAGAAGAATGGCTCATTCTTATGGAAATCCCAGGAACCCGCGAGCCTAATTAACGAGGGTAGGAAACTCTTGTAGTTTATTAGGAAGTTTGGCATAAAAAATAATCCTAGCCGGGCGTGGTGGCGCACGCCTTTAATTCCATTCCAGCACTCGGGAGGCAGAGGCAGGCGGATCTCTGTGAGTTCAAGGCCAGCCTGGTCTACATAGTGAGTTCCAGGACAGCTGGGGCTACAGGGAGACCCTGTCTCAAAAAAACCAAAAATAATAATCATCATCATCATCCTGAGAGTGGGTAATTAAAACGTTTACAAGTGTCGGTTTCTCATGAGCATTAAGAGTGGGGTACAAGGAAGTGTTGAAAAAGAAAGGCCTGGCACAGGAAGCAGCAGATGTTACCTCTCCACCATCCTTTAGAAATCCTTCCTGAACTGTATTTAGCCCCTTTGCTTCTGAAACTCAGAAGAATCTGGTAGGAAAGTTGCAGCACAGCTTGGTAAGTCCAGGCCTAGAAATGGGCAGTGTTGTCCTAGTTGGCATCAGACTGAAGAGTTGTGAGTCTATTTTGTAATCTACAGGGGAACAGACTGTAGTGAGGTATTTCCAGATTTATGTTGAGAAAGATAAATCTGAGTAAATAGGATAAAGGTGTCCTGAAGATACAGTTTCTACATCAAATCATCTCTCCTGGGGAATTATGCCAACTCAAGCATCATCAGTTCGCTGCAGAATACATACTGGAGTCTCTTACCCTTTTAAATACAGTTTATGGGAAAGTTTTTTATAAACATTCTTTAGTTGAATTTCCATTGTAAGCACATAATTTCACATATCCACCTTAGGGAACTGCATTTAGCAGAGACATATGGCTGTTCCAAGACTACGCAGCTAGGAAAATTGGAACTCAACTTCAAATTTCTATCCTTTTTCACTCTGTCATGCTGACTTGCATCTCATGACCAAAATTTTGGCTTATACCCTCGTAAGCCAAGTACAATGGACTAGTATAAGATTGGTGTATTCTATGCCCACTGGATTTTAGGAAGAGGATACTCACATTGCCTATAGTACTTAGCTGAGTGGAAACAGGATGGATACATAAGCAAAATAGTAAGAGGGAAGAGAGAAGATGCTGGGTAGGAATATGTAGTACTTCTTTCATCCCTCTAATGAAGTACCTTAACACATGACAGAAGCAACTTAAGGGCAGAAGGTTCTATTTGGCTCACAGTTTCAGAGTATATAGTCCTATACTGGGGAAGGTGTGGTTAGTTGCTTGATCAGTTGTAGCAGCTGCTGCTACTAGGCAGAACAGGAAACAAAGCTCACGCACAAACCAGAGGTGACCTTCCCTTAGTAACTCATTTCTGCTATGTGTCCCAAAGGTTTCACAACCTCCCCCAAAGATCACCAGCAGCCTGAGAACAGGTGTCCAAGTATATGAACCTCTGGGGGACATTTCAGACTCCAACCATAATAGGAGCCAATAACTAAGTTATCAATTATGATTGAATTCATCTTTATAGCTTCCAAATTTTAATGTATTCAGTCGAAGGTAATAGGAAGGGACAATCTGACATCTGTAATAAAGATGAGACGTAGCTGTAGCTCCATGTGTGCATCCATGAGTGTCATTCCCAGCACCACACATGCAAAAGAAAAATAATAGTACTAACCTAAAATCATTGTGACACCTGTCACTGCTAGGCGGTCTCAGCTTCCTGTAAGTGAACATTTTCTGGAAAGAGACTTCAACTCAACAAAAGGACTACATGGATCTGTTATATGTATTCAGTAAAAAAGGCTAATCTTTCCTCTTTAAGAAATGGTAATTTGGGGCTGGAGAGATGGCTCAGCAGTTAAGAACACTGTTCTTGCAGAAGACCTGGGTTCAAATCCCAGCACCCACATGGCAACTAACAACTGTAACTCCAGTTCCAGGGGATCCGACACCCTCTTCTGTCTTCCATGGGCATTGCACAACACGGGTGCACTTACCTATATACAGGCATAACACTCATACACATAAAATAAAAAAATATTTTAAAATATATAAAAAAGAAACTGATTTTGAAAACTTGAAAAAAGAAAAAAAATTGTGATTTTGTAAAGTATTTCCTGTTTATTAATGTAAAAATAGCTATCAGGAAATTAGTTAAAAATTTAAATAAATACATAAGTTGAGTTTTACATGCTAGGCACTGCTAAATGTTTTACACATACCATTTGGCTTTGAGTAATTATGCACTAAGATGTTCTCATTTCTTCTTCATAGAAAAAGAAATGGTTATTTTTCTTATTATTGTGACAAAATACCTGGCAAAAGCAACTTACAGAAGAGCTTATTTGGGTTCCTGATTTAAAAAGAGTATAGTCCACAATGGCAGGGAAGGTGGGAATGCAAGAGCATGGACAGCTGGTCATCTCCATGAGAAAGTAAAGGGAATGCTGGCACTCAACTCACTTTCTCCTTTTTATTCAGTCCAGCCCCAACCCAAGGGGTGGTGCCATCTACTTTCACGTGAGTCTTCTCTTTTCAGTTAAAACTTCCTGGAAACACCCTCAAAGACATGCTCAGGGGTGTGTTTCTATGCTGCTTTTAAACGCAGTCAAGTTAACTGAAATTAATCATCACAACTCCACTCCTTGTTAAATGGATCACCCAAATGTATCACTTTAAATGATAACATTCCACCCCAACCCCTAAAGCCTCTTTTCATCTCATGATGCAAAATGCATTCAATCCTTCTCTAAAAGTTCTCATATCCTTTAACAGTCTCACTACTGTTCTAAAGACCAAAGTCTCCTCTCAGGCTTAAGACATACTTAACTGTGAACCTCTATAAAATGAAAAAACAAGTATCATGCTTTCAATATACAATAGCAAAGAATAAATACTCCTATCCAAAAGGGAGGGGTGGGGAACATAGCAGAACCCAGCAGAAGAAACACCAAACTCTGTGGGTCCATATCCAGCACCTGAAACTCATGATGGAATTATCTGAGTGCCAACTGCCTTGGGTATAAAATTAAGAAGCATGTACATGCTTTCAATATACAATGGCAAAGAATAAATATTCCTATTCCAAAAGGGGAGGGTGTAGGGGACATAGCAGAACCCAACAGAAGAAACACCAAACTCTGCAGGTTCATATCTAGCATCTAGGACTCACGGTAGAATCATCTGAGCTCCAACAGCCTGGGGTAGCCCTACCCCTCTATCACCTACAGCACCCAAAGCCTCTTTTGGGCTGGCTTCATCCTATTCCTGAAACTTTGCTTAGCAGATAACCCGTGATCTGATATCTCCAATATCCTAGGGCCTCCACTACAATTTGGGCCTCTGCTTCCTAGTGTCATACACTGGCTTCTCAAGGACTCCTTCCAGGAACTCTGACTCTGCCACACATTACCAGGCCTCAATGGCTTTCTGGAATCTTGGCACAATCCTCAGTGATATCCCCTTCACTCTTGTATCCTTCATGTCTGCAAACCAATACTACATGGGTAATGCTATCAGCTTCTATTACCAGCTAAAGAGCTAGCCTGGCCACCTGAACCACAGCCACAGTGGTCTTTGTGTGCTGTGGTCTTTGAGACTGACAATGGGGAAGCACTTGCCTCAGCAGTTTTTTCTAGTAGGGAACATTTTTTTTTTTCTAGTTTTTTCTAGTAGTAACATTTTCAATGCACTCTCCCTCTTAGAGGCATTTGCATTTTCACAAGTTAGAGACCTCACTATCTGGGATCTCTCCCTCGGGGTCTTTCCTGTTGTCCCAATGCAGAGCATTCAACTTCTCTTTAATGGTGCTAATCTTTTTAACAAGTACAGCTACTTACTCAGCATCAACCTTGTCTGCAATTTTAAACTTACATACTTTTCCTCACCAGCTTGCACATTTTCATATATTTTTGTTCCACTTGTTGCTTTCTCTCTTACTATAGATCTGGATAGGCACAATGAGCAGTGACTATGGCATGACCTGGATGCTATCTTAAAATTTCCTCCATCAGGGTCAAGGAGATGGTCAGCCAAGAAGAACAATTGCCACACAAGCCTGGCAACCTGAGTTTGATCCAGAAACCTCCATAGAAAGCCAGATGCAGTGACACATACCTGAAATACCATTACTTTTATGAAGAGGTGGGAGGTAGAGAAAGGAGAATATGCCAGAAGCTCATGGGCTAGAAAGCCTAGAGTACATAGCACACAGCAACAGAAGCAACAAGAGAGACCGTCTCAAAAATAAAGTGGAAAGGGAAACAAATCCCGAAAAGTTGACTCACTTCCACACATATGCTGTAGTATGCATGTGCCTGCACACAATGTTTTTTTTTAAATCCTCTCTACTAAACAAATTAACCCATTACTTTTGAATTCAGCCTCAAGTTCTCAGGACAGGCAGAATGTAGCAGATTCTTTATCAAATGTAGTACAAGTGGTCTTTAGCCTAGTTCCAGATAGAGTGTTTGTTTTCCTCTGAAGTCTTCTGAGCCAAGACTTCTTCACTTTCCATATTTCTCTCAGCATCTGGTCTTTCAAACTCTCAACTTTCTGGTCCAAACCCTGCTTACAACATTCTAGGATTTCTCTAGCTTCCAAATGGTTTCACATTCCTCCTGCAAGTAATTCCAAAGATCTGTGAACCACATGATCAGGTTTATCACAGCAACAGCCTTTCTCTTCAGTGCCAATTTTCTGTAATACTGTTCTCATCACTGTGACAAATTACCTGATAAAATCACTTAAGAAAGGAAGGATCTATTTAGACTCACAATTTAAGGAGGGATCTGGCTCATCATGGCAGGGAAGGCACAGGGGTAAGAATGTGAAGCCACTGGTCACATTGTACTCGCTTTCTCATTTTTGTTCAGTTCAGGACCTCAGACTATGGGATGGTGCTGTCCACATGAAGGATGAGTGTTGCCTCTTCAGTTAACCTTTCTAGAAACACCTTCATAAACACACTCAGAGGCGTGTTTCCATTGTGATTTTAAGTCTAGCAAGTTGACAGCGAGGATTAACCATCATAGAAACTGGGCTCAGAAGGATGACCTGTACTCCCCAAAATTATTCAACTGGTGAGATGTGGAATCCTTGATTTGAGCTGAAATCCATTCAGCCTTCCTGAACTACTTAACCTATGGTTTCCAACTGTGACACTGCACCAATGCCTAGGTGTTATAGACCAGTTTCCTCTGAATTGAAACTGAAGGACCTCCAGAAAGGAGGGAGAGCTCATGAAACTCAGGAGGTAAACAAAAGGTCATATGTCTGAGAGAACATAAACTTGAAAGATTCTGGAGGGCCTCTCTCCAGCAGTATATAAAAGAGTAAGCAACTGCTTGAGGGCGGAGAACCTGACCAGGAGAATTGCAGAGAGGTTTTCAGACTAGAGCAGCTGTCTGCAAGCTGAGCAGAGAACTCTGGGGTTGCAGCTTTTATGAGTCATCACTCCTGTTGAGATAGACTTTGGTGATGTAGATGCTTTTGACTTAACCCTGATTCTGTTAGTGAACCCTCCCCCACACTCCCCTTAGTAACCCCAATAAAAGCTCACTGGTTCACCAAGTTGGACATTGATGTAATCAGTACTTTGGTCTGTTATGGGTTCCCTTTCTGGGCTAATTAGGGGTAGGGGGTGGGTGTGGGTGTGTACCCAGGAAAAATATGTCACATAATACCAGGCAGTTAGCTCTGTTAGCTTTTGAGCCATTTGGATGCCTTCCCATAGTCACCTATAGCTTCTTCAGCTGTGTCATTGTAGCGGGGGTGGGGCATGATGGAGAGATTGAGATTATGGTTTCAACCAAATATGAGTGGCCATGGCCAGAGAACACAGATTTAATTCATTCCAAATACCTAGTTCCAACATGGTAACAGTTTCACAAAGTAAGTTATAACAGAACAAAGAAAGTTGTAAATCAAGGCTTTTCAAATACATTGATGGAAACCTCAGGTAGATAGGGTCTAGCAAAGTGGGAAAATCTCTACTACAGGCCTCAGATGCTATCTGATGACATTCTTAGCTTTGGGGCTGGTAGTACTAGGGGTCTGTTTGTGCATTCCAATAGGATTTATTTAATAGTCACAGGCCGTAAATACACAAAGGTGGGCATTAAATGCCTCTTTGGAGGAGATAACCCAAGATGATTTGGCTCTAGAATTGCAACATTCCAGCTCCCCCAATCATTCAAGTTCTAATCAATCAGCCTTGTGAAATTTTTGGTGAAGATGGAACCAGTTCACAACTGTGCTTAGTGAGCTTTTCTGGGTATGTGTTTGGCTGGTCTTAGCAATGCCATTATTAGGAACTTCTTAGGGTCCTGTATTAGAAAGTTGGAGGTAAGGAGAGGAACCCAGCACTTTTTCAAGGTGATTCCTATGCCAAGGAGTGTTTTAGACCCTCTATGCTGTATATTACATTGCCTCTTCAGGTAGCAATTTGAGCCAGACTCCTCTCCCAAGGCCCAGGGCTATAAATAATATAGTGTATATTTTCATTCCCAAGTGATCATCTTAAAGACTTCTGCCTTTGGGTTGCTAACTTGTAGCTTCCTTTCCACTGCTTCTCCCCTCTGTCCCCAGGTAAGAATCTCACAGGAGACCAATTCCAACAGGAAAGTTCAGCACCCAGGATTAGACCTCAGAAAAATGTTTCAAACTGTGACTGATGATGTTATTTTCTCTAACAACAACAACAACAAAATATGCAAGGAGACTATTAGACTTAATTTCCCTTTAGAAAGCGAGCCTTCATACTTGAATGGAATTTATAGAATAATTAAGTTCTGAATAATTTAGCTTATAATTTTTTATTTTGAAATAATTGCAGACATATAATAAAACTGAAAAAAATACAACAAATTCTTGGGTTTCTTGCATACAAGTTTTACAATTATCCATATCTTAATGTATTTATG